CACAGCACCACCCCGCCGTGAAGTCAGACGGACCTGCCACCTCGGCTACTTGCTGGCTGTGTGGTGCTAGGCCACTGACCTCCCCTCTCTGAGCTTCAGTGACTTTAGGATGTTGGATATGGCAGTAATGAGACAAAGTGGGACACAGAGCAAGGGCCAACTAGGGTCTCCTTCCTCTTCTCCTCTTTCCTGCCCTTCCCTGTCTCTGGCCCTACCCCAGGCTGAAGGGCCCTGCTCGCAAATGTGGCAGAGTCTGTGTCGATCTCCGCCCCCACCCCCCTTCCTGGCCCTGCCGACGACGTCTTCAGTTCCTCTAATTACTTATTTAAAGACTATCGATTCCGTGGGCTGCTGCTGGGAGGCCTCGCGGAATAGCAAGTCTCGTAAATAGCAAGAGAGCTGCGGCCCAGCGACCAGGGCTGCAGCCTGACATAACCAGGCAGGGGGTTATTTTCGCTCAGGATGCTTGTGAAATATTCATGTGCTGATTTAAATACCCAGGCTGTCAGAGCTGAAAGGGCCAGAGAGGACCAGAGAGAGCATGTCAGCAAAGCCTGCCCTCATCCGGAGGGAGATGCCGAGGGTGGGGTGGGGGGGTGCCTGGCAGACACACGTTCAAGACCGATACCAAGGCTCAGAGAAAATGGGTGACCTTGGGCAGGTCACTTGCCCGCCCTGGGCCTTTGATTCCTCATCTGCCACGAGAGAGAGTATCGTGAGGCTGAAATGAGAGGGATATAAAATGATAATTCAGCACACAGTAGGCCAGCAATAGCTGATTGCATTGGAAGTTAGCAAGCCTGTCTAAGCCTGAATGTCCTTCCCTGGAGACCTCCTAGAGCTGTAAAGTTGTATGAGACGACAGATGTGAGCATCTCGCAGCAGGCCAGGGACAAAGCTGAGTTTGACCAGCATGTGCTGATCCACTGGGCCCCAGGGGTTGTGCGACATGCTTAGAAAAGTGGAGAATAACTGGCTCTTCTAGCACCCAGGGTGGAAGTTACCATTATCTGGAGTATCCTGGGGAACAGACTGTCACCAGTGCATGCTGATTTCTAAGGCTCGCTGATGACCTCGGTGTGAATTCTCCCACTGTGGTTGATTTTAAGCTATTTTAAGTTCTGAATGCAGAATTGGGAAGAGTCATGTGCACCAATGGATGTTTGTCTTACAGATGAGGAGACTGAGGCTCGGAGAGGTTGGGTGCCTTGCCTTACATAATTGGCTGAACCAGGTCTCTCTGCTCCCAAAGCTCACCATTAATTACCTCCCAGGATTGAGCCGAAGGGAGGTCAACGAGGCTGCGTGGTGGGAGTGACTTGGCCAAGGCCACACATCCCAATGGACCAGAACCTGCCTCCTTTCTCCCCGTCCAGTGCTCTTCCCATCAGGAGCTCAGGGCAGCGGTGGGGCCACACCTGTCCCCACTCCTACCCCAAGCTCATTCAGGAAGACCACACCTAGGCCAGGCCCTGGACCAGGTAATTCTACAACATTCTCTTACTGATTCCCCCCATCCAGCCCCTGGGGGAGGAATTCTGACTGCCGATTAAGTAACTTTCCCAGAATGCAGGGCTGGGAGACGTGGGGTTCAAACCCAGGTCTGCGATGGCTCCCAAGCCCACACATGTTCCTACCCTTGGAGGGCATAAAGTCCTTCTTGCCCAGGGGCTGTTACCTGGCCTGCATCTGGCCCCACTTCACTTGCTCTGCTTTCCTGGATAAGATGTGATCCCTTGCTGCCACCACTGCCGTCTGCTACAATGTGACACAAGCTAAGAGAGTCCACACCAGAGCTGAGCTGATGCCATCATGATGCCCAAGACTGTCCAGAACTGGAAGCCAAATAGACCTTTATTCTTTGTAAAGTTAGACTGCCTCAGGCATTCCATTACAGTAACAAGAAGCTGACTCATACAGTTCCCATGGCCCACAACTGACCTTTGACAGCTGCCGCAGTCCGGCTGTAGCAAACTAACTGTGGGGTGACGAACAACTTGTGTACATTGATACAGCAGGAGTGGGAGCCATTTATCGTAGGACAGGAGGGGTATATATACATTCCACACATCGTATCTTAATTAACATAAACTAGATATAGCAGTCAACCAATAAGGAATCTCCACACTTAATGGCTCGCTGGCGTTACTTCACAAACCACTCCCTCTGGCAAAATGCCAGGCGCCATCTTGACTTGTTTACAGACCCTAACAGTCAGCTGAGGGCGCTGGACAGCCATGCAGTTCACCCCTGCCTCAGTGATCTCTTTCCCTCTCGTTTATCCATTTACTCACCCTGTGTTTGGTAGTTCCGAGCTACCCACTGACTGTGGGCCAGGTACTGACTGTGCTGGGTGCTGGGACACAGTGGATGAAGGCCATAGCCCTGGCCCCCAGGGAATCTATGGACTAGTGACGGTAGGACGGAGCAAGCCAGGGATGCACTCAGAGGGCAGGCAGACTGCACAGCAGTGACAATCCTGACGGGGCTTGTTCAACTCACTTGTGTGCCTACAGTGTAGACTCTCCTCCCTGTGAAAAGGGTGCTTGTGCGTGGTTGTAGGGAGGGGCTCAAAGGAGCTGAGTCCCAACAGGAGCGCGGTCAACAGCACACAGAGACATGGGCTGGGCAGGGACAAGGAGGGGGACTGTACCAGAGAAGTTCAAGGGGGGTCGAGGAGGCCCCAGGTGCAGGGTGCTGACTGGCCCAGACGCTTTCATCTAACACCTGCAAATGTGCCCAGGCACCGAGGCAGCGGGGAGAACGGGCTGCAGTTTGGGGAGGGGAGTGGGCGCCACTCGTTGAGCAGCTCTCCTCTTCCAGGCTCCCTGTGCCACCCGCCATAGGACCATGTCTCTGAACCCTTGCAGACATTTCTGGTTTTGTTCTGTTTGTGGTGCTGGGAACTGGGCCCAGGGCCTTGCACGTGCCAGGCAAGCACTCTACCACTGAGCCACATTCCCAGTCCTCCTGCCAACATTTTATGAGGTAGAGACTATATTATTGTGCCAGTTTTATAGCAGAGGATATTGAGGCTCAGAGAGGGAATGTGACTTGCCTAAAAACACACAGCTGGTATGTTGCAGAGGCAAGATTCAAACTCAGATCTTCCTGATTTGGAAACCCGTGCTCATAATCCCTAGCCTGCAGAAGCTGCCTTGCCGTTCACCTCTCCCTTATTAGAAGGCCCTCAGGCCTGTGGGCGGACGCAGGGACAGAACTTGCCTGCATACCAAGCCACAGAAAAGCAAACACCAGATGAGCATCACTGACCCCATGTGACAGTTGAGGGACTCAGGCTTAGAGAGGGAAAAGAACTCACCCACGGTCACAGATGAGAAGGTGGCCTTGGAAGCCGGACCTTCCCTGTGCTGGCCCCATAGTGGCTCCGAGGCAGTGGCCCCCACGATCCTTCCTTGGTGGGGAGCAGCCCCAAGACGTCGGAGCAAGGTCACCAGAGGCCTGGAGCTCCCCGCCCCCTCAGCCCAGAAAGGAAATCTTCAAAGGATGTCAAGTTCATGGCTTTTGTGGCAGAAAGAAAACAAGGCGTGAGTGCGAGGAAGCTGGGCAGCTCCCGCCATCGCCATCCCCGGGCCGCGCTGACTCAGCGCAGAGGCCGCTCTGGCCTGGAGCAGAATCGCAGGAATCTGCAGACGGCTGGAATCTCCCGGCCCGGCTGGCCTGGGAGGGGACAGGGCACAGGGAGGGGCTGCGTCTCCCCTCCCCTCACCCACCCCACTTCTTGCCCACGTCTTTGAAAGGCCACTTGGTCCCCGACGTGCACGGCTCTCACCAGTCTCGAAAGTCCTCACAAAGGGCTTTATGGTCTCCAAAGCCACCTGGGATTCTGAATCCACAACAGTCGTCCTGCTGCCTCTGGAGTTCACGATGGCCTCAAGGTGCCCTCACTGTATCCCAGGCACCCCGTGGGCTCCTGTGTGGGGACACGTTTCAAGGGCTCAGAGATTCCTGTGGTTGCTGATATTAGGATCCCTTGAACAAATAAGGCCACTGAGGCTAAGTAAAGCGTCTTTCCAAGGCCAGCGGGCTGTTAGGTAGCGGAACCTGGATTCGAGGCGCTGACAGGAAGAAGCCAGGTTTTGTACCCAGACTTTGGAGGAGGAAAACAGGGTTCCCAGGCAAAGGGTCAGTCCTTTCCTGCCCCCGGGACCTGCTCGCTGGCCCCTTGGCCCTCCTGTTTCACTCCTGCAGAATCAGAGCGACAAGCCGGCCCCACTCTCCTCCCAGCTCTGGATCCCTGTGGGGTGTGGGGTGACGGAGGTGTCAGCACCCACAGGTCCTCGCTCCCTGTGCCCAGGCCGTGTGTGGCAGCTGCTTTTCCTCAGCTTCCCCCTGTGGGGTCTGGTCCCCTCTGTACGGAAGGTCACCCGGGGCCTTTCCAGAGACCTCGTCTCACACACAGGGAGAGGGAGGACAGGGTCGTGAGGTGGAGCAGGGCAGGGAGCGACACTGAGGGGACATTCCTCTAGAGAGAGCTCAGAGAAGTCACCACATCCAACCCAGATGGGGGAACTGTGGTCTGGGGAGGGGCAGGACTCAGAGAATTGGAGACGAATGTGAGACTAGACTCATCTCCACGCTCTTCCCATGGCCTGAGTTGACAGCCTCCCTTTAGGTCCTTTAAGATCTTGGACATTGATTCATTCAGTCAGTCAATCAACAAACACCTCCTGACCATCCCCTATGCACCAGACCCTGGCGATCATAATGGTGGGTCTGATCACAGTCCTGACTCTCAGGGGCTTCACATCCAGAGCCGTGCAGTCCAGTACAGCAGCTGCTGGCCACGTGGCTACTGGGCAGTGGACCCACAGCTGCTCCACACTGAGGGTGGTCAGTGTAAAACACACACTGGATCTGGAAGACTTAGTATTAAAAAAAAAAAAAAGAAAGGAACATGTCTCAATAATTTTTTATCTTGATCACATATAGAAAGAATATTTGGAGCATATTGGGTTAAATAAAATGTTAAAACTAACTTCAATTTGCTTTTCCTTTATTTTTTTAAAAAGGGACTCCTGGAAAGTTAAAATTCCAACTTGCTCCAGCGGCTCCCGTGATCTTTCCGTGGGCTGCGCTGGCCCTGGGGTGGGGGGGGGGGACGGCCTGAAGGGAACGACCTCCCACTCGCCTTTCAGCCCCCTGGCCAGAGGGGGAATGGGCCGGGAGCAGGATGAAGGCCAAGAGATGGAGCCAGTTCATTTCTGTCCTCGGTCAGCACCCTGTGCGTCCCCCAGCAGGGGCCCCAGGAGTCCCTTCGCGTCCCTCCCGCCTCCATTTTCTTTCCTCTTCCCAGCGCCCCAGTGCTGACTCCCCTCCAGGGCCCTGCACCCCACACCTCCAGCCGGTCTCCAAGGCCAGGTCACACTGCTGCCACCACAGCCCTGGCCACTCACCAGAGGAGGCACCTTCCTCCCCTGGCCACTGAGAAGCCCTCAAGATTGGGACCGGGCCTGGGGTCCTGGGGGAGGGCCCTCAGGGCAGTGGAGGAAGCCTGGTGTCTTCCCTGAGGAGGTGGCACCAAGGGTGACGTAGCCCCGGAAAATGAAGTGGCAAGGACCGACAGAGAGAGGCTCAGTCCTGTGAAGCTCCCCTTAGAGGGTCCACGTGGCCGCGGCTCAGAGCCCCGGGCACCCACAGGGACGTGGGCACAGGGCAGACCACAGCACCCCAGGGCCGCACCCAGGAGCATGTCCTTTGGCCCAGGGCGATGGGGAGCCATGGAAGGGGTGGAAGCCGCGGGCACCTGGGACCGTGGGCCCTCTCGGGCCTTGGAGGGACCCCAGGCGGCCTCCTCTGCTGGCAGAGCTGGCCGGAGGCCGGCTTGGCCTCTCCCGCCAGGTGGAGCTTGCAGGAGCTCCAGCTGCCCGGCTCCCTCCCAGGCCGTGTGACTGAGTGGCCTTGGCCAGATGACCTACTTGTCGTGCTTCAGTTTCCTTATCTGTAAAGAGGGGATCAGGAGTGAGTCACTGTCAGGGTTTCGTGAGGACTCGGTGACGTAAGGCTTGCAAAGCGCTTGGCACAAAGTAGGTCTGCAAGCGGTCATTCCCGTTCCTTCCTCCCTTCCTGAGTCCCCCTCTCCACCTGCCGAACACCAAGCCCCCGCTCCTCAGGCAGCAGGAAGGGGACTGGAGGAGCGATTCCGCCGTCAGGGTATTTATAGCCGAGCGCAGTCGCCCTTGTTGTTTTTCGTATATTTTTACATTCTCCACCGTCACACATGGTTCCTCACAGTGGCTGAGAGGCAGTGGGGGCGGAGGGTGGGGGACATGGATGCAAAGAGTGGCAGAGTGTAGGAGGTGGAGACAGATGGCCCGGGGCAGCACCGAGGGACCTGAGGACCTGGCCTGGGCCATCCTCTCCCAGCTCAGAAACCATCAATGGCTCCCCATTGCCCCTGCCCAGATTTCGAAATTCACCAGTCGCACACAGGGTGTCCCTGCACACTGTGTGGCCACATTTCTCACTCTTGCTCCCCCTAGGTGAGCCTCTTCTTCCTGTGAGGAATTCAGGGGAAAGGCAGCTGGAGTTGGCTCACCTGCTGTGTGACCCCCAGTACCCCTGCTGGTCTCTGAGCCCACACTCCCTTTCCTGCAAAATGGGAGCACACGTTCCGGCCTCGTGGCCTGCGGTGAGGGTTCAATGCAAATGTGCCTGGCCATTCGCAAACATGAGCTATTATGAGATGCACTTCAGCTTCAGGCTTCCAGCTGTTCCCTCTGCCAGGAATTGCCCCTCTCCCCACCCCATTTCCACCTGGAGAAGTCCTTCAGGGCCTGGCCGGAGAGGGGCTGCTCCCCAGGGGCCCTGCAGACCCAGGGCTGCAGGCACATCGTCCTGTCCCCTCGTTGCTTATGAAAGCAGCTGGCTTGCTCCACGCCCGCTGTGCGCCTTCCCTCCTCACGCCAGCCGTGGAGGGAAGTGACTGCTCCAGGGTCCACTCAAACCCAGGACTTGAGACTCAAGGCCTGTGGGATCCTGCATCCGCCCTCCCTGTTCCGGGACCTGTGCCAGAGTCACGGCTGCTCCACGTGGTCTTTCCTCGGGGGTCCTGGCCCGGCCTCAGGCCCACCCCGGCCTCCTCCCCGATCTCTGACATCCTTGTCCTCAGCTTGGGAGCCCGGGTCCCCCGTTCCCTGCCTGCCAGTGGCCAGGCCCCCGGGTTGGCTGCGCACCCCGGCCCTGGCCCACTGAGAGGGCGGGGCTGGCCAGGCAGGGCACTGTTGCTAGGCAACAGCCTGGCAGAGAGTCTGGATTCTCCCTGAGAGGACAGCAAAGGGGCCTTTTTCCTGGAAGCTGGAGGTGGACCGAGGTACGGATGGGAGGAAGGAGGACCTCACCCTCCCGGTCACCCTGCTGTGCCCCTGCAGTCTCTCACTCCTCCAATGGCCTCCCCTCCCACCCTCTAGGTCAGCCATTCATCATTACTCACACTCGTTTACTCATTAATTAGTTCATTGATTTAGATGCTCGTAGCCTGGTGAATTACAGCTCCCCCGTTGCTCTCTGGGACTCCATTTTCCCACCTGTGCAATGGGAACAAGGCAGTATCAACCACGCAGGGGCCCCACGTTGATGGTTTACCCCCACGATGTCCTCGGCACTGATTTAGGGCCCGTGTTGGAGCCCGGGATGACCGAGGCAAATGAGCTCTGGTTTAGTGGGAGAGACCGCAGGTGGAGCTGCACAGGACTTGCCGACGCCTGTGCAGATCTCCTCTGGCTGTCTTGTGGGCACGCAGGGGAGTGAAGGGGCTGGGCCGTGTGGCCGACGCCATGGAGCTGTATCCTTCACTTCACACCTTCCTGGGAGGCAGATTCTAACTTCTGACCTCGATTTTCCTGCCATAAAATGGGCTCTAACAGTAATGCTCTTCCTGGATCGAGGGCACACATGTGAGCCTCTCTGGGCACACAGTCAGCTTGTGACAGGCAGCAGATATCCACACTGGTGTGTGGTGGGAGCAGAGCCTCCCCAGGGTGCCATGATGTCCCCACGGGCTGGACTTTGGGCTCTCCTCTGTTTTGTCTCCTCGCTCCGCCTTCCTGGGTCTGCCTGCTGTTCCCCACCTCCACCCGTCTGCTCACGCTGTTCCTCCTCCTGAAATAACCACTCTCATTATTTCTCCTAAAGCTCCCATGCGGTTCCTGGAGGCTTCCGGCACCAGCTGGATGGCTCACAAAGTGAATCCAGGGGCAGGCTTGCCAAAGACCCCACAGCACACTGTCTCTCCCCCTCTCTCTCACCTCCTGCTGCAGACAAGGCCCCCTGGAGGGCTTCTCCTCGCAGTGGTCAGTGGTCGCAGTGGTCAGGTGGCCTGGCTGCAGCCTCACCAAGCTGCCTGACTCCCTGGGGGAGTATTCCTGCTTTTCTCAAAGCCCCTGTCCCCTGAGGCCAAGCCCTGGGTGCTCTCTGCAGGGTTTCTGCCCGGAGCTCCCTGGGGCCGGGAGCACCCCGAGAGGGAGAGGCCTGGTTACATCCTGGGCGGCTCTCAGCACTCAGCGATGCGTTTCTTTCTGCGGCATGTTTGTTTAATCTGTGGGTCCCCTGAGAGTCCACGGGCTCTGCCTCGGGTCTCCACTCCGCCTGCGGAATTTGCCCAGACTTGGCACACGGAGGACGCTACGGACCGGCTGCTGACCCGGGGGGCGGGTGGGTGGACGATGGATGGACGAGGGGTGATGGACGGCCTTCATTCTCCTGTGCAGGTGAAGGAACACAGGGCGGGAGGCCGAGCATCGGGAGTTCTGGGGGCAGGTCTCAGCTCTGTGAGCCCGACAAGTGGGATCCCCTTTCTGGACCTCAGTTTCCTCACCTGCCATGCTAGCCAGCGCCTGCCGGGGGAGAAGGGGATGGAACCACTTTATATGAGTGGGAGGCCCTGCCTGGGGCTGGGGCCGGAACTAGCCACATCAACAGTCTCAGGGACCAACCTTTCTCTTCCCTGGCTCCTCTCCTGCCTTGGGCAGGCTCAGGACTTAGCCAACAGCTAAGTCGCGTGGCAGAGGGACTGCAAGCCCTAGGCCTCTCTTCAGGAGACTGTAACTGCCTGCACCTAGACCCCACCAAAGTACAGGGAGGTCAAGGGCCCGAGTGCTGATTCTCCCACGACGGAGGCAAGAGGCAGGTCATTTGCTTCTCAAGCCTCAACTCTCTTTTCTGTAAAATGGGTAATAATTCAATCCACAGGGTTATTCTGAGGGGCAGTGGGGATCCAGAGGAATACCGTGGCTTAGTGCATGGGACACCCACCCTGCTCCAGAATGGCAGCTCTGAGGATCCTTCTTACCATCCTTGGTTCAGATTTTGGTTCTTCCACCAAGAGGAAACCCCTGTTTGGGTGTTTTTGGAGAAGACCGCTCTGTGAACTGAAGTTCTAGGCCTCTGGTCTTCTGCCTGACGGGCTGTTAGTCTGGTTCTGTTCTCAGTCTAAGCTGGACTCCAGGCTCCTCCTGTCTCCCACTTACCACCCTCTGTCCCATCTCCATGGGTCTCCATAGGTCCCCTGCTTTCTGTGAATGCTGGGCTCAATCTGATCAGGATCAGAACTTGGAACAGGCCTGGAGATCAGCCTGGGATCGAGATCAGCGCTTAGTCTGCAATAAGATTAGGGATCAGTTAGCATCTGGATTCAGCCTGTGACTGACGTCAGGGCTCAACCTGGGACTGGGATCTGAGCTTGGCTGGGGCAGAAACTAGGCTCAGCCGGCCTGGGAGTTAGGAATCTGCTGGTGATTTGGATCGGGTCTCATTGAGTGCCAGGACTGGCCCTGTCTGTGACGAGTCTCCAGCCTCTGAGCTGAGGGTTTCCTGGGCTGTGCCCGCAGCAGATCCACCGGGAAGGCAGTGGGGAGATGCAGGAGAAACTGACCCACAATGAGCTCGCAACAGAGGCCCCTGTGGGGATCCTGCGAGTGGCTGGTCCTTCACAATTGTTCCGGTGGAGGCAGGCGTTTGTAGCACCCGACACTGGTCAGTCCCTGGCCAAGGGTTGCCCCAGGCAGTAGGGCACAACTCCGGGAGGAACCAGCAGTCAACAGTCGCAGCAGCTGTGCCCTGAAGAGGATCTCTGGAGACAGCACCTTCTAGGATCGGCCTGGGCTCTGACTCATGCCACAGTTTCATTCACATGCTGGACAGAAGCTTTGTCCTCAGCATCCAGGACAAGGCCTGGCCAGGTGGCACAAGCCTCAGCCCACAGATAGAAGAGAATGTGTCACGTGGGGCCCTGTGCCCCAGTGAGGGCAAGCTTAGCCTGCCTTGGAAGCTCAGAGAGGGTAAGCCACCTGCTTGAGGTCACGCAGCTGCTCAGGGCAGAGCTGGGACGAGAACCCAGGTCTTCTCTTAACCTAAGACTGGGAGCTTGTTAGAAAGCAAAGGCTGGGAAATGGGGAGGGAAACCCCCCCTCCCAGTTCCCGGAGCAGAGCTCAGGGACTGGGCCCTGGCGCCCGCCCGCCAACTCTGGCAACTTCTGACTGGCCCGCCAGGACCGGAGCCCAGGGGAGGGAGCGGCATCTTGTGGGCAGGCGGCCTTCTTGGGTAATGAGGCCCAGTTTGCGGTTTGCAGGCCTTACAATGTGAATAATTCATTTGCAACCAAGTCTGGGAATTAGAAACCGTTACTGGATGATTTATTTAACAGGGGCTGCTGCTGGGGAGAGGGGAGGACTTTGAACTATAAAGGGGAAGTACATGACTCAAAGCTGGATTTAAAGAGGCCAACAGACCTAGGTTCCAATTCCTACCAGCTGTGTGACCTTGAATAAGTGACTGGACCTCACTGTGCCTCAGTTTGCATGGTTGTAAAATGGGGATAATAATAGAGTCGTTAGAAGGATTGAGAGAATTTGGAGAGTGCCTAGAATTGTGCCTGGCTCATAGTAAATGCTCAGTAAGCATTCATTGAATGAATAACTGAAAACTTAGAAATAACAGTAGGAACTGACTAAACTGAGCATGTACTTTGTGGCAGGCCCAGTTAAAAGTTTTACATACACTATCCTGCAGCACATCCCATGTAATGTGCATTATTATTATGTCCCTGTTACAGACTCGAAGACAGAGGCCCAGAGAGCTTCAATAGACTGCTCCATCTCCAACAGCTAGTCCTGGCACAGCAGGAATTTAAACCCAGCCAGGCCTCTCTGACTAGGCCTGTGAACTCATCCACACTCCTCTACCACGGACCTCCGAGCATCAGCGACATTGACACCTGACTCTGATCTAACTCACATGTTCCCTTTTCTTCCCAAAATATTGCACATCCAGCATCGTATGTAATCCTAAAAGCAAATCCAACCAGTGGTTGGGAAAAGGATGGCCCCTCTTTCCAGATGAGGAAACTGAGGCTCAGAGAAGGCCATGAATCAGTCACCATCCCACAGCCAGAATGGAAGCTGCCTCTCTGAGGCCTCCCAGCCACAGTCACGTGTGTACGGTGACAGCTCAACCCGGGACTGCACTTCCAGAGGGCAGAGGCTGTGTCTTGTTTTGTCTGATTCACAAAAGGTCCTTATTAGACAGCAGAGGACGGGAGGCAGGCAGGCACCCGGAACCACTGAGCCGAGGAACCCTCGCCTTCTGACTTGATGTGGGCCCTACACTACTGCCCTGCTCCTCAGCAAAACACAGACACACACACACACACACCCCTGGGGAGCGAGGACAGTGGCAGCTGGCCCCTCTGAGCTGCCTGGGCGCACGCTAGGAACCAACCAACCCTGGCTCCTCCTGGGCTCCAGTGGCTGTGGCCTGGCACAGGGGGCAGCACTGGGCGGTCTGGGGTTCCCCCACAGAGGCGAGGCTGGGCTCCCGCTGCAGGACCCTCTTGCTGACCGGTGCCACAGTGCCCAGTGCAGGCACGGACTGGGGCTGCTCTGCTCAAACCACGTGCACTGGGGCTGCGGGGGCTGCTGCGTGTACTCACGAGCTCGTGCGTGCGTCTGTGTGCGTGTCTGGTGAGTGTGTGGCGGTGGACCTGCAGGGACTGTGCAGACAGGGTCCTTTCCTGTCACTCCCTGAGCCTCAGTTTTCCTCCTGGGCAATGGGAACTGGCATCCAAGGGGGCCTCAGATTCGGGGTGCTCAGGTCAGCTGGGGAGTCGGCTTTCAGCGAGCGCTGTGGGCCTTCTGGAGCGTTTCCCTCCAGGTTAGTCAAGTCCTCTTGGCCTAGCTGGGCCTGGGCCTGCTCTTCCCATCTGGATTAATAGGAAAGGGGTTCCTATTTCCGTGTCTCCATTTGTTACTCATTTTTTGTTTTCATAAAATTTTAAAAGAGTGTGCCATTTAGACTCAGGCAGAGACTTCAATCACTTTTCCAAAAAATTGGTCTCCCGCCACTCCTCCCTCCACCGCTGGAGTGGTCCCTCGAGACTGTCAAACTGCTCCACTCTGCCACCGGCCTGCAGGAGGTCTCCCGAGGCTCACCCCACTTCCCGACGCATGGGGACCTCCAGAGGTCCCCCTTCTCTCCAGCTGCCTGGGAGCCACCTTATAGCTCTGTGCTCAGGCACATGTCCCATTCCTGGATGCTGTGCCAGCCTCCGCCTCCCTCCTCCCTGGCCTGGGACGCAAACTCTGCCTGGAATGCCCCCCCCCCCCATCCATGGCTGGCTCTGGATCCACTGCAATTCACTGCTCAATGTCTGCTTCCCTTCTGGACTGAGCCGGCTGTGGGAAGCAGGTTCTCCCTTGGAGCCCCAGCCCCTCCTGAGCTCCAGGTGTTGGCCCTCCTGCTGGGTGAGTGATGTGTGGGTGCCTTCGCTCCTGCAGCAGTGAAGACCCGATTCCCATAGGGAGACCTCAGCAGCACCTTCACCAGGAGCCAGGCTCAGTTTAGGCAGGACACCAGCCTGAACCCTGATCCTAGGGAGAGACTGATTCATGATCCTGCACTCAGACAGCCCTGGCTGCAGCCCCAGCTGAAGTCCCAATCCCATTTGGCCAGCTTTGACCCCAAACGGAGGAGAGGCTGAGCTCCACAGGCAGGGGCCTCAGCCTCCCACTGAACTGGAGCACTTCCAGGACATACAGAGCACCATGCAGACCCAGCAGCTGTATACACACGGCCCCATTCCCCAAACCGCCACCACACCAGGACCTAGAACATTCCTAGAACATTCCTCAGGGTGTGTGGAGGTGGCTCATGGGAGACTCCTCTCACCTAGGTTTTCCGGGAAGGGTCAGGAAGGCCCTAGACCTTCCTGCAGTTTGAGAGCCCATTCTGTCCCTTCCTCCCCAGCTGGGGCAGCAGATCTGGCTGGGATCAGCTCTGCCAGACAGTGATGTGACCTTGGGAGTCACACTCTCCTCCCTGGGAAAAGCTATAGCACTTCTCACCTGCAGTCCTCTACCTCTGCCCCACCGGTCCACACCCCAAGACCCCTCCCCAATGCATATCCGGTGGCTGGAGGGTAAGGTGGCCCTGAGACCTTGAAGCCACTAGAGGTCAACCAGGCCCCAGCAGGACCCCGAGCCTGTGTCTGAGCATGGGGTGGGTCCTGTTCTCCTCAGGGAGGGGTGGCGGGGGTGACTGAGGCAGAGTGGAGCTTGAATCTGTCCTGGAGCTCCCTCTAGTGTCCCCAGAGGGGCCTGCAGCCGGTCCTTCTGCCAGGGGCGGATGGGGTAGGTCCTGGGGGCCCTCCCCAAGCCATCCAGCCAGCCGCGTCCTCCCTCATCCCTGACGGTCCACTAGGCTGAGATCCGGGCTGCGCTCGGACCTTCTCCGTCTTTCTCAGCCTCGGCGGAAACCAAGCTCTCTTGTTTCTGCGGCTCAACTCCCGCCCTGCTCCCACCCCAACCCGAATCCAGACTTTTCCTGGGACCATTCTCTTCTCGCTCTCGGGCTGCACATCTTCCACGTCTTCTCCAGGGGAACTCTGCCACGTGCAGACCTGGCCACGTCCCTCCCTTTCTTCAATCTCTGCCATGGCTCCGCAGTCCCCCCAGGACAAAGCACAGCCTCCCCGGTACCTTACAAGCTCTGCACCAACTGTCCCCTGCGGCCACCAGCCTCGGCTTAATCACTCAGCTGCGGGCAACTCTGAGCTTCCCGAGCCCAGGGTCTCACCTCGGACCTTTGCCCGCCCCTGGGTGTCAGCCAGGGGTGCCTGCCGCCTCCTCTCCACTCCGGGGTCCTCGCTCCCC